TCACTAAGTTGCCCAGGCTGGCCTTGACTTTGCAATCCTCCTGCTTCAGCCTCCTGAATAGCTGGGATTTCTGGCTTATGCCACACTGCCCAGCTCCTGCTGCATTTTAATCTCCTGTTCACAGTGCTTTTTCAATTAGGTAACAGTATGAAAACTCACCCTTCTCCTCAGCCAAAGGCCAGAATGAAGTCGAAGAAACCGATAGATAACAGCTTTCACAGTCTTTCTCTTGCCTTTTCGTGTGCTGCAGTACGTTAGAGTTCTGACAGGCACCATCAGGACGCTGGGAAGCAAGGGAGTCACTCTGAAATAGATCATAAAAATTTTAACCAGCAGTCAGACTGATTAAAGGATAAAACCTATTTCTACACAGTACTCAGAAATGAGTAAGGCTGCTCCACTGGAATGCAGGTAACTTTTAATATATAATACTGCTTCAGGGTGGGGATTTAGCTCAGTGGTGCCACTGCCTGCCTCGAAAGCGGAAGGTCCCAAGTTTGATCCCTGGTACCAAAAAAAACAACAACAACAACAAAAAACTATAAATATATATAAAATACTGCTTCAAACGTTCAAAGATGCTATGTGTAAATAGGAATGGCAGCTACCACCAACTGCAAGCATTCTAAAATCTACCCCTCCTGGTGGTCTAGCCCAGTGGTAGAGTGTGTTCAAACATGCACAAAGACCTACGTTCAATGCCCAGCATCAAAATATAAATAACCAAACAAAACCCAGCCCCCATCCCTATGAATTTACCCTACTCTGTTTTAATCACCTGATTTCTATGTTTGTCTGTCTTTTCTGCTGCGTATAGTGCTGGGCACCTGGGGGTGCTTAACTGAATGTTTGCTGACAGAACAGAGACCACACACAGCCCAGCCTTGGAAGCTGAGCATCCTGTCCACTCTTCACTTTGCCTGACAGCTTCCACTGAGGAAACCACGTACACAACAACAGAAGCGTACTCTGGGGCTGGGGGTGTAGCTCAGTGGCAGAGTACTTGCCTACCAGGCACAACACCCTGGGTTCCATCCCCAGTACTGCAAAAGGAAAAAAAAAAAAGAACAAAGTTCTGTTTGGCAGTTCCTACTACTGGCATCTAGGTACACGGATGTCACTCATACTCTCCCACTCAGACAGCCTACCACTGCAGGTAGACAAAGGCTGTATAACAACCTGCCAGGCAGGCAAAGAGTATTATCACCTTCTAAGATGTCTTGTCTTGTAGGCATGAATATTTTATTTCCTTACTTATTTATAGTTTTTTTAGATAGGCTCTTCCTAAGTAATCCAGGCTGGCCTTGAACTTGCTAAATAGCCCAGGATTTCCTTAAATTTGGGATCCTTTTGCCTCAGCCTCCCAAGTGCTAGGATTATAGGTGTAAATCAACACACTTGGCATAAATATTTTTTCTATTCTATTCTATTTCAATGCTGGGGATCAAACCCAGAGCCTCATGAATGTTAGGCAAGTGCTCTACCGCTGAGCTGTATCCTCAGCTCAGGTATGAATATTTTAAAATTTTGTCTAAGCATCATGTTCATTGAAATGAACTCTACCTATTAAGGATCATTCCAGTATATCCATATGTCAGATTTCTGACAGATGTGACAAGTCTGGGAGCAGAAGAAACAACTGGTATGTGAGTAAGACTAAAATGTCCAGTGAACAGTGCAGAATGGAGACAGGCATTCTTGGTATTGTTTCGATAGGCTGAAGATGCCAAAATATTCACAGGCCGTAAGATTCCTGTAAAGACATAGAGAAAAACATATATTTAGTATGATATTCCAAAATATGCACTGACATCTAAAATTAATGGATCAAAGCAAGTATTAAACATAATTAAAATGTCTTGAGCATCAGACTTACCTTTAGAGCTTTCCACCAACTTTATTGAGGTATTGCTTACATTCCATAAAATTACCCATTTTATGTGGTTCAATTCAATGACTTTTAGGATATTTAGGGATTATACAACTACCATCAAAATGCAGTCTGATGCATTCTGGCTCTATATCCAGTACTAGGGGACAAGGTATGCATATATAAATTCTCATCCCCAGATCTTATACTCAGTGCAGTGGCAGGTCAGAGACCTGAAAGTACAAGCCCTTCTTGGAAAGGGAACAGAAGAGCAAGAGAAGGATACATGAAGACAACAGAAGAGGCACTTGAGTTCTATTCTTGAATATGAACAGGCCCTTCAAGGAGGAGGAACACATACTGGAGAGGATGAGCAACATTAACAAACATCTAGGGCTGTGGTGGTGAACCTACAGTGTGTGTTGCAGTGGGCTGTTTGTTATCATTGCTCTAAAAAGTTATCGAAGCTCTAAAAGGTTTGCCATCACTGGTTGAGGGGCTGACACTCTCGAGTGTGTGGGGCAGGGGACAGAGGCTACACATTGCTTCCCTGACTATAGCAGAGATGCCCAGGAAGCAGCAGTGGGATATGAGAAGGGGCAGGTGGAAGGTAGGGATGTGTGGACTAGATGTGGTCCTTTTTATCCATCCTTCCTGCTGTGCCACTGTGCAAGTCAGAACATCCGAGTGGAGTCAGAGTTCTGTGAGTGATTCTGAGTACAGTGTGGGACTCAAGAATGTACACGTTAAAAAAATTCCACAAGATTGAAATGTCCTAAAACTGGAATGTGATGACGGCTGCATCTCTTGCACTGTACACATAAAGTGAACTCTATAGCATGTAAATTCTACCTCAGTGAAGTTGGATTTTTAAAAAAGCTGCATCTGAGTCTGATCAGCAGGCAGGACTACTGTCCACTGCATTCATTTCACTGACCAACCTGGACAGTGTGGTGCTGACGTGAGGGGCAGGGTTTGAATCACACTGTTTAGGTTCATACTCTACCTCTACACTAGCAGTTTGTCCACAGGCAATTTATTTAACCTCCCTGTGCCCCAGTTTCCTCAAATTCAAGTTTGGTTAATTATAGACAGCAAAATGAGATGAAACATAAAGTGCTTGGAAGAGTACTTGGCATAGAGAAAACATTTAATAAACCTTAACAGCAGATAAAGAGCTGAGGAATGCCTAGCAAACATGGCACAGGCATGCAACACTTAATATGAAGTATGTTTGAGACCAGCAGCAGCAAGTGATTTCATCACTGTGTGGAAGCTTAAGAGTATACTTGCACAAACCAAAACAGTACAGTCTACTACATGCACAGGGCTATTTGTTAACAGCCACAGTCATATATGTGGTCCTTCCTCAACTGAAGTGTCATGCAACACATGACTGTGTGTTAGCAGGTAGCAGATGAAGACAGCGACTTTGCTTTTCTATTATCCATTAAAGACAATAATCTTCAAACTGAAAGGGTAGCATTCTGAATCCAAGATTCAGAAAAATCGATGAGAGTCCTTAATATCGGCCGTCGGAAATCAAATTCTCTACTTAATGCTGGAATTCAAGTATCTGGGTATAAATAATTTATATTTCAAAGAACTCAAAAGATTTTCAGATGTGATTACAAAGCAGATCTTTGAAATAATAAGTGAACTAAAGAGAAGGATTGTAGACAAGAAAATATTCCAATTTTCACAGGTCACTGGCTCTTGTTAAAATATAAAACCTCTCAGAAATTCTTAGAAAACATCCTGAGTGAACTGAGCAAATAGTATGGAACATACAAATGAGTAAACTACAGGCTCATGTGCAGAAAAAAAGAGGTTAGAACAGAGATTAATAAATTCACAGGAAAATAGTCAACTAAGGGTCAGTTTCTTTTTTCTTTTTTTTTGGTACTGGGAATCAAACTCAGGGCCTTGCACTTGCCAGGCAGGCGGTGCTCAGCTGAGCTATATCCCCAGCCCTTAAGAGTCAGTTTCTTGGCCAGATGTAGCTCAGTGGTTCTGCCACCTGCCTGCCTTGAAAGGTCCTGAGTTCGATCCCTGGTACCAAAAAAAAAAAAAAAGTCAGTTTTTTTAAAAGAACCAATTTAGTTTCTTTTTCTTCCCAAGTGTTGGGCAACTAAATAAGCACATCACTTTGGAAAACTTTGGGAATATCAAGCACTGCTGAATATACACATATTCTTTGACCCAGCAATTCCAGTTAGTTTTACTTTACACACACACTCCTTAGAAACACTCTTGCACTCATGCACCAGGACACAAGGTCAATCAGCTTTGTACCTAATGACCCCCAAACTGGATACACCCACATGTCTATCATTAGAATGGAGAATTATAGAATGGGCACATAAAAGCTTATATTATGGCAATGAAAAAGCATTAGAGGTACATGCAAACTGAATAAATCTCATAAAGTAAAAGCCAGGCACAAGAACACATACTGAACAATTCCATTCATGTAAAGCTCAAAGCTAGGCAAAACAATGTTATTAAAGGGTATACATACAGATGCTAAGGCTACTACAGGAAAAAGAGCAAGCTGATAATTATAAAAAATGAGAATAGTGTTCACATTTTGGGGAAGAAGGGAATTTTGAGAGTGGAGAAGGGGCTTGTCTTGACCTGGGTTTTAACTACACAGGTTTGCTTTCCAGTTGTTCAACCATTCATACACATTATATGAATTTTTCTTTATAGGTATTATGTTTTGTGCACACAAAAAATATCCCACATATAAAAGCTCTTCTCTAACACTTAGAAAGTTTATATTTTTTCTTCTTGATCTTATTTTTTATCCTAACTTTTTATGTTAAAGTAGCTTATCATCCTACCACACTGAATGATTTTTGGTACTGGGGATCGAACTCGGGTCCTTGCACTTGCGAGGCAAGCGGCGGAAGCACTGAGCTAAATCCCCGGCCAACACACTGAATGATTTTTAACTTTTGCAACAAGTCCTGCTTTCACCCCTGTATCTCCCAATTAAGAAACCTTATGCTCCCCATTTTACTGAACGCTGTAGTTACAAATTAGTCAGGACTCTCAAGCTTACTGTGTCCCAGGCACTACGCAAGATACTTTTCGCGTCTGAGCTCATTTAATGCCCAGATAGGCGATATTATGTCCACTTTACGGCTGTAGAATCTAAAATACAGATAAATTAAATGACTTTCAAGGTCAAGGGTCGTTAAGTGGCGGGCTCTAATTTGTACATCAGAAAGGTGCCGCTTTTTGGGCCTTCCTCATCCCCTTCACCCCAGTCTCTCTGGGCTGTTTGCTAGAGGAGGAGGAGCTCATAAAGAAGCCGAGAACGTGAGACACAGACCAGCATGGGTACGAGTGCGTGCTGCCAGCCACATTGACACAAAGAAAATTAGAAGCAATCTTTGGCCCCTCCCCGAAAGATTCTATTTTTCCTGTTAACCTCCAGAGTAAACACTCCACCCCACACCAGTTTTCCGCCCTGTGAAGGCATAAATGGACCACGTTGCTCTTCACTGACCTGAGGCGGCTCTCACAGCTCTCCCTAACACAAAGGACGCCATTTTGCTACAATCACCTACGGTGGCCGCCTGGGGTTTAAAAGCTCCAGAGCAAAAGAATGAAGAAAAAGCAACCGGGGCAGAGTCGGGGGCGGGATAAAGGCGTGGTCAAGTCAATCCTTATTGAATGTCTACTAGGCGTGCGTCAGGTTCTGTCCTACGCTACTGCCAAGCAACTGCCCAGAGTCCTAAATATATAGAATATATATGAGGGGTAGGGGACGGCCGGGGCGGGGGGGGGCGGGGGCGGGGATAATCCTCCTGCCCCAGCCTCGCAAATAACCCGGATTGATTACAGAAATGCATCACAAGCCCCGCTCTTCTGGGGAGGGGTGTCTCGGTAAGTTTCCCAAACTGGCCTAGAACTCCTGGGCTCAAGCAATCCTTGTGCCTCAGCCTCCTGAATAGTTGGTATTGCAAGCGTCTGGCTTCTCAAATAATTTGTTAGCATGTGTTTGAAAGATCTACTTAAACTACACGATATATTCGAAATATTTTTTTGTGCTTACTCATTTCAGAGAATAATATTGATTATCCTTTAAAAAACTGGAAGATACTAGGATAAATGAATGGGAAAAATAGCAGTAATATTAAAAATCCTGTTGTTTTGCTGTTTCTTTGAGACAAGGTTTCGCTGTGTAATTCAGACTAGCCTTGAACATACTGTGTAGCCCAGGCTGGCCTTGAACTCACGGCGATCCTTCTGCCCCAGCCTCCTGAGCACTGGGATTACAGGCGTACGCCACCACATCCAGCCAAAAACACTGGAAAAAAACCTGCATGCCAATGATAATCAAATGAATGGCAATAGCCTAAGGATGCCACACACACACTCCACAGACATTTTTTACATATTGTTTTTCTGGTATTGGGGATTGACTCAAGGGCCTTATGTGTGCTAAGCATGTACTCTACTATTGAGCTATACTCCTAGCCCCATTGGTTTTTTAAAAAACTAATAGCCCTCATTTCGTAGGGCAGAACCTCAACTCTGTATGAATTATTCTACATTCTTTATTTTATTCCTGAAAATTAGTAATCACACATACTTTTTCTTTTTTTGTACCAGGGATTGAACTCAGGACCTTGCACTGTTGAGGCAGGCGGCAGAACCACTGAGCTAAATCCCCAGCCCTCGAACACACTTTTTCTGATGTTCATTTTAACAGGGAAAAACAATAAAACACTGTACCATCCTATTCTAAAATCTCCTCTGTAAGAACTACCTAGAGATAGTCCATGAATTACAATATACAACATTTATTTAGTAGCTGAAATGGGTAAGGATCAAACACTTTTGGGAGGGGTGTTGAGACAAGGTCCCACTATGTAATCCAAACTGACTTCGAACTTGCCATCCTCCTGCCTCAGCCTTCCAAGTGCTGGGATTACAGGTGTGCATCACCACAGCAGGAGTTCACACTTAGGAAGATAAATACAGAACTTATTAAGACAAGACTGGCCGGGGATTTAGCTCAGTGGTTTTGCCACCTGTTGCGCAAGCTCAAGAACCCGAGTTCAATCCTCTGTACAAAAAAAAAAAGACAAGACTGAAAAAGATTCTTTAGAAGAATCAAAACTAAGGAGAGGAGGGCTGGTAGTGCTCTCCCCCACCACACCCCATAATTCCAGTTACATGAGAGAGTGACGCAGGCTGAAGCAGGTTGAGGCAGGAGGAGTGGCAACTTCAAGGCCAGCCTGGGCAACTTAGCAAGACCCTGTTTAAAAAAAAGAAAAGAGGCTCAGGAATTTAGCTCAGTGGCACTGCAGCTGCCTGGCAAGCACAAGGTCCTGAGTTCAATCCCCAGAACAAAAGAGAAAGAAAGAGAAGAAATAATGAGGAATAGTCGGGTCCAAAATGCGGCTGTGACGGTACCTGGCTGTAGAAGAATAAGAGTGCTCACTGGCATTGAGAAGTCCAAGGATACAGGCATATCACCCAATATGATAGCAGTGGCAGGGATAGGGTCAGATTGCTAAAATTACTAAAGAACACGGGAGACTGCTTTGGAGGCTGGTAGACGGGAAAGATATGAAATAGAGTATCATGTTATTACTAAAACAATGAAAAGCATAGGACACACACACATATATATATATATATACCAACATACCTATCTGATTTTAGATTTTCAAATCTATTTCTCTATTTTGCAAATGAGAATGGTAGTGCGATCAACATCTAGAGAGAATAGTACAATGAGATAAATTACCTAATTAGGACTTGAAAATACTTTGCAAACACCATAGACAACGTACAACTTATCTGGTCTCTTATATTGTGATACGATACTAAAAGTATTTATACTGGAGTTTACATGTCATAGTAATACATGTTTAGTATTTAATGTTAAAAGTGGAATACTTTGAAGAGTGTTTCTGCATAGCTTTCCCTATCTTTCAAGCTATGCCACAAATTGCGGCCACGTTTTTTTCTAAAATAAAAACGGAGAAAGCATGTGGTATAGTCTGGAGGCGTAGAAGTTGTGGAGCCAGAAAATCTGGCTTCCTAACCATGCTGACATTACTAGACACAGGAATGATCGATCCGCACAACGGTCCCTCCATTGTTCCAATAAGGGTAAATCCCCCGGAAAAGAAGTCTTCAAAGGAAACGCGCAGACGTCTCTAACTTGTCCCAGTCGACTCCTCCTACGAAATATCCAGCTGACAGATACGGGTGACTTTTTTTTTTTTTTTTTTGCAACCGGGGATCGAACTCGGGACCTTGAGCTTGCGAAGCAGGCGGCGGAACCATTGAGCCAAATCCCCAGCCCGGTCAACATGTTTTTGCTTTGATTCTTCTAACAGTCACGTGGGTTTTTGTGTGTGATCAAAGCCCACATTCTTTTTTTCCAGCTCACCTAGTAACCCGAATTCCGAGCAAGGACGGAGAGCCGGGAGCAACCCGGGAAAAGAGTCCGCCCTTCTGCCTCCTTCTGACCAATGGTCTCGGACTTGGGTTTCTACAGCCTGGGCGGGCGGGGCCCACTTTCTCAGTGAGGCCAGGTCTGGGCGAGAGATGGAGGCCGCGCGTGCGCAGTGGCGTTGGCTGCCCTTCCGGTACGCCCGGCGCAGAAGCTGTACGGACGGGGGTACGCACCCACGCACGCACGTCCTCCTTCATTTGCGCCGGCCGCGGCAGTTCCCGCGTACACCACCGGCGCTGTCCATTCTGTCGAGATGCTACGGGCCTGTCAGTTGTCGGGCGTGGCCGCTGCAGCCCAGGTGAGCGCGGGGGCTCCCGGAGAGAGCGCAGGAAGAAAGCTGTCTCGGGACGGCCAAGGAAAATGGGGAAGGCTTTGGCGCTGTCTAGGCCCGGGGGCCAGGGGCATATGTCGGAAGGGCCCGGGGAGGGCCAGGGAAGCTGCCCACTCCGGAGTTCGCTGGGCTGGGATGACTTGAGGGTTACTGCTGAAGCGGGCTGGGGTGTGGAGAGGTAGTAGGGAGGCGGCGCGGGGCGGGAGGCGCGGCCTCGGAGACTTGTCATCCAGTCAGCACCGCGCTGCCCGCGGCAAGCACCAATCCTGCCTGCTGTCCTCCGAGCCGCCGGTTGGGCGCGTGATGAGTTTCCAATGGTGAAGGTCGTAGCGGGAGAACTACAGTTCCCAGCAGGACCCGTAGCCGCAGCTTGTTGCATCTTCAATAAGGAGGTGCCTGGACTGCTTGAGATCCAGTCCGTGTTTTAGGGGTCAAGGTTGTAATTAACTGGGAGAGATTTTCTTTTCGTAACTGAGAACACCTTTCCGCTATTTTAATTCTGAAAAGCAAAAATGGTTTTCGTTTATGGAGCTTAAACTCCTGGTACTTGAAGCAGGACAGAAGTCATGACCTTGTGCTCATTTGTGAGATTAGCCTGAGGATCAGTGTCTCCTGGCGCTGGGACAACTGTGGCTGACATTCAAAGAGGCATCTAGACACCTAATTTTTTTGTTGTTTTAATCTTGCATAACTGTCAAAGTAACTTTCTAAAATTGACAATAAACCTATTTTACATTGCTCATGATTTTAAGAAAATTTGTATTTTGGCAGTGTTGTATTGCAAAACAAATAGTGACTCGAGAAGCATTTTTTTTCAAGTTTGCTTCTCTATTCATTGCTAGGGTAGGAGAATCAGCCTCTTCCATAGGAAAATGGGACCCATACTGGTTTTCTATTGCTGTGTAATGAATACCACACATTTAGGAGCTTAAAACAGTGCCCATCGATTATTTTACAGTTTCTGTAGGGCAGAAGGCTACACATACATGTGTAGGTTCTCTGCTCAGAGTTACACAAGGCTGCAAACAGAATTATTAACCATGCTGTGGTTTTCATTTGCAGATCAAGGTTTTTGTCCAAGCTCATGCAATTCCTGTAGGATTGAAGTACTGGTTTTATTGCCGGCTATTGCCAGCCACTGCTCCCAGCTTCCTGAGGTGGCCAGCAGTTTCTTGCCATAAGGCCCTCAGAGATCATTCATAACATAAATGGTTGCTTTCTTGCAGGCTATAGGAGCTTGTCTCTCACTTCAGAATCTCTTCCCTGACTTTGATCTCTAGACCCAAGGTTTAAAAGACTTAATCAATGTGATTATGCTACATTGGTCTGTTCTCACTATCCCAGTCATTCTATAGTATTTGATATTGCTGCTTCATAAAACTTGTTACATTTTTGGCTTTTCTCATATAGTATCTTAGACCCTGACTTATCCTTTATCTCTCTCATTATCTATTACTGAGTCTGCTTTTTTACTTCTAAATATACCTTGTCATCTTTATATATACTTTTAACTAGGATTATATCAACTCAGAATTTAGCCCCTAGCCAGATGACTCTCTAGCCTCTTTTTAGCCTTGTACTTATATTTCTGGTTTTGTCTTTCTTTTCTTTTTTTTTGAGACAAGGTCTTGCTGTGTACCCTATGCTGACAGGGCCTTTTACTTGCAGTCCTCTTGCCTCAGTGCTGAGTTTAGATGTATGCATCTTCCCAGCTTGTATTTGAATTTTCTAAATTCTTGTTTGATTTTGTTTTATTGTATTTATTTTTCCTTTTTTTGGTACTGCAAATCGAACTCAGGGCCTTGCATTTGCTAGGCAGGCGCTGCACTGCTGAGCTATATCCTCGGCCCTCTTGTTTGATTTAAGTTACACAGATTATTCCA